ATAAGAGAATGAGTCAGAAGAGATGGGGAAGAGAGACTTATCTTACGCGGGTCAAACTCCCACATTGGTTCACCACAGAAATCCCTTGAGTCCTAGGGTACAACCTTATTTATCCAAATCTCACCTTAAGGAGGAGAAACTCAGGGAGCCTCCTGCTTGGGAAACCCAGCACATCTGTGGATTTCACCCCTTTTTAATTTGTAGCCCTCTGCAATTTTTTTCCAATGAGACAGTGGGCTCCTGCGTGATAAAAAGTCCTGCGGTGAGAGCAGCCTTGCTTTTGTGCAGGTGCTCCAGCACCAGGTGTAGGATGGCCAGAGCAGGTTTGAGGAGATATATGGAAGATTAGGCTCTGAGGAGGAGGTGTGGGACATCTCTGTAGTAGTTCAATATTATGGTGATTTTTTTGCACACAGAGAGGGAAAGATGCGTAAACTGAGAGTAGGTAATGATATGTTGGTGAAGCTGTTGGTGGAAGCTACTTCCCAGCAGCAAAGAAGATACTGTGCAACCTAAAACTTGGTCATTTATTGATACTTCTGTTTGCTGGAAGACAGATACTGGGCTGATAAAGGTTGTTATGAGAGTTCGGAGAGATTTGGAAGAGAAATTATAAACCCACCTTATTTCACATGATATTGAAGAGGTGATGATTTTTTTTAATGATCACTCCACAACTTAATCATTTCTTTGGGAGATTTACAAATCCAATTCACATAAGCAATGCAAATGTGATGGTCTAAGAGTCTTTTTAATGAGGCAAATGTACTCATTTATGTTCAAATCATAACAAAGAGGGGAAAAACCAGAAACAGCACCTTGTCTTTGACCATGGAAAATTTTTCACAGTAAAGTGTTGAACAAGGGCCTTCAAACTTCCTGGGGGAATCCTTGCCTTCCAGGGCCTTTCTGATATTTCCGGCATTTTATTGAAGGAAAGAGCTTAAATTTGAAGAAAGGTGCAGACTGTATATCTGTTATTAGAATCTCTTTGTTCAGTGATGTCAATTAGAAAACTGCAGCAACAAAATAGCAAAAACCTTAATTCTTTTGTCCTAAGTTCAGATGCTTTGATAAAAATAAGCAATAAGTAAACACTTATGCTTTAAATAGTCTTATAAAAACCAGTATTTTAAACAAGCTGGTTTTATTTCTATGTCACTTGTGACATTCTGAATATACTATTTAAGTAATCATTGAGAACTATCTTTATTTATTATTATTTATAGGACTGGTAGCAGATATTCCTTTTATTAATTGCTTTAAGGGATTGCATATGGAAATGTTGAGGTGCAGAATTTTCATTCAGTAGCTGAGTATGTCTCCCATTATCTGGCCGAGTGGCATAAAAATTCTGTGGTGCAGTCATTCCTTCACAGAAGATTTATCTGACAAGTCTTTTCCTGAAGCGGCTATCATCAGTGCCACTCTTTCAGGTGGCATTTCATCAGGAAGTGTCACTAGCAAAAGAAGGAATAAGACCCTGTCCTTCCACTGAAACATGAGCAAAATGGTGGCTGATAAGATGTGGTAGAAAATGCTCTTCAGCACAACACAGAACTGCTACAGAGACATCAGCCAGTGCCTCAGTGTGGTTAATACACTATTAAGCACAGTCACAGCTATATTCAGTGCTGTGTTTTTGACAGAATAAGCTGGACTTCTATCGTGTGGAAGTCTGAGGCCAACCCTAATATTCTGTATTTGGTATTTTTGGAATTCCTGTTTGTGTGCTATGGAGAAAAGTGCAGTTAGTTTTCCAGTAAGTTGTTATTGCTCATCAGTTTTTATTCCTGATGAATGAGGATGCTTCAGATCATAAATCTTTCGCTGGTCCAGGCTAACTGTTGCCTCTCCTGGGCTTCCAGCCAGCATAATTTTGTAGGGAGGTATTACACAACTTGATGAGAAAGAAGTAAATAGTCCTCTGTTAGCAACTATTTGAAATAGCAGCTGTTTAAGGCTATTCAGGGATGGGGGATATTAGCAGTATTACTGGGCAAGCTGTAGGTGGTGTACCATATGCATGCGTTGCCACACGCTGTGTTGTATTTGTCTAATGTGAAACTTTCATTGACTGGCAAATGCGATAGTGATATTTATAGTGGTCACTGCTGAAGTGCATGAGCAGATTCTAGTAATCTGTCACCATGCAGCATGGATATGGAGTATGAATAAGGAGATGAGTTTCTAGCCTTTCAAAATTGTACTCACCAGACCTGCAATGGTGTCTTTTATTCCTACAACCAATAATACTTAGTGGATGTGGTGCTAATAACTACAGAACAGAGTATGTGCAGTTTGTCTGCATGTGCCCACATGCAGATCTGGGGCATGGTGGGTTTGGAGGGCAATCTGTGGTTGGACCACATGCTCAAATATCCATGGGGCAAGAACTGAAAGCAGTGTAAATGTGTTTGCAGGTCTCATGTGGACACTGAGTGTTGTTAGGGCTCCAGTGAAAGAGCTGCTGCAATTTATCCTTTCTGCACCCTCATTCTTAGTTATAGCAAAGGAAGAAAAATAAGAGCAATTGTTCATTTTCCCCTTTCCTCCCAGCCCTCTCTCCCTCACTGCAACTTTGTCCCAGCACCACACTAATGTGAGCTGTGGGGTGTAGTGAGCTCTGATTCAGGCAACTCTAAGGGCCATTATTATCTAGAAACTCCCTTATTTAGAAAGCTTGGACCTCTCCTTTCCCAAGGGATTATGAGGGGTTTCTTTCTTAATCTTGAGTAGATGTGTGATGAGATATTAAAATGTCAACACCTTGATTTATAGAGAATATCTTATGTTATTTTAAAGTTTTTTAAAAAATTGTTAGAACTAATTTTTCTGTCTCTCTAGGGCTTGTGCATACTGTTTAAGTAGTCCTTAGCAGCACAGGACTATAAAGAGAGAGCAATAACAAATTTTACAAGTGTTGAAAAAAGAAAGGAAAATAAGAGGATTTTTTTTCACTAAAATGTATTGCAAGCAAAAAAATGTTTATGGTATTAAAGTTTTATAGGCTTTCTTTTGGGGTGAGCTGTATACCTTTCCATTATTAATTAATGCAACTTTAACAAATAATACAATATGCTGAGAATGTATAAGACATAAGAATATAAAAGCAAGTTCATTAGATCATCCCTTACAATTTTCTAAGCTTTTTACAACAAAATTAGAAGCAGTTGAGGTCACCCTAAATCTGATTCTTTGGCATTTTAAATTTGCATAAATAGCCATTTTTATTTTTCTTTTTATAAAATGAATGCATTTTTTAAAAATAGCCATGTGTTCTTGGCCTTAGTCTCCTAAATTATTGTTTACTTGGGAGACAGTACATATTTAATTGAAACAATGGCATTTTCAATAATCAAAGCATTTGCCCTAGCATGTGCTAACAAGAATAATGTGAAAAATATACAAATTTAATAATGACACAAATGGGGTCTTTTTGGCTACATAAGGTAGTTTGAAGCCGGCCCTTTCAGATCAGAATTAATTTTGGCCTCTGGAAACTTGGACCATTTCCTCATAGACCAGTGTCCAGCTGCCGGGCTAACCTGGCTCTTCCACGAGTGCTGCCCACTCATCACCAGAGCGTTTACCCTGGCTGCTCACCTGCCTGCATGGAAGCCTGCCAAGCCCGATGCTTTCCTGACCTGTCTGAGCAGCCATCTGGAAGGGAGCAGATGCCATTATTCAGTAGTACTTTGGTAGATGGGGTGCAGGTCCCTTAAAAGCTCCCACCAGGAGCGTGAAGCCTGCTGCACAGTGAGTAAAGCACCTGTTCTTGAAGCGAATGCTTCTGTCTTGTGTTGCAGGCAGTGAGCATATGGTGTGTATGATAAGTGGAGAGAAATAAAGTGCCTTAGGGTGGGACGGTGCCATGGCCATTTTTCAGCTGCTCCCAAAGGGAGAGGAGCACCTTGAGCAATGGGGACTCTCTTCTTTCTCCTCCTAGCCCTGCACAAAGAGAGATGTCTTCCCATCTCCTGGTAGTGTCTTACATTGGAAAGTATTTCATGAAGGGAGGAAAAAAGAAACAATAAGGAAGATAGAAAATCAAAGCAAATTCAGTGTGCGGGAGGAGAGATTATCAGTCCCACATCTTAAAATGGATCCTGGGGAAAAGGCTGGTCTTTCCCACATGGCTGTGACTGCTGTGTTGGAGCATAAGGTGGAGTGGGAAACTCAGTCTCCAGCCCTGCTCTCTCCCTGCCTTTCCTGCAGTGCCTGTGGACACATCTGCTAATGGTGGCAGTGGTGAGGGTTGTTAACTGGACACTGTTTTGGACTGCCAATCCTTTTGCACAGGTCACCATCTGCTTGGTTGTGAACAGTTGAAGGGCTCTGTGTAGCCCATTAACAAATTCTTTTGCTGTCCAGACCTCTAAAGTATTTTAAAAGCCCTGTTTAAATGTTCAAGCACTTTTTTTTGTTTTGCTTGGTCTTTTCCGCTTCACAGCCCACTTTTTGTTTCTTCTCTCATGGTAATGAATTAACTGTAAGTACCAGTGACAGCATAGGGGAATGGTAGATGTCTGGGATCACACAGGGTGCGACCTTTGAAGGAAAGATGAGATTCCTTCCCAGGAAGCTCTCATGAAGTTGGCTTTAGAATATTTAGCAACTACCTGTCTCATAGGCAACAGCAGGATTTGGCCCTGCCACATTACAGTGAACAATTGGATGTAAATGTATTGATCTCAGTGGAGTTACTAACTGGTACTGGTGCAACAAAAACACCATTTGCCCTAAATGTTATGGAGAGATGACAACCAACATACTGAACAGATCTGTTTCTTAGGGACCTCCTAGGCAGAGGAGGTAGCCAATCTGTCCATGCTGCTTTGGGCCATCTGAGCTTCCCTGGAAAATTTAGATTTCCATCTAAGTTGCATTCGTTTTTTATTCATATTGGCTTAGAATATGTTTAACGTCTTTTTTTTTTAATCTTTTTTTTTTTCTGCAGTAATAGTAAAAATCTGTTTTTCTTCCCTAACTATGTGCAGGCTGGCATGGCTTTGACTTACGATCCAACAGCTGCTATACAGAATGGGTAAGGAATGCATGTTTTCTTATGCCTTTTAAAAAATTCTTTCAAATGCCATCTTCTGTTTTCTCTCTCTATGGTGAAACTTATTCAGAAGCAAATTCACTCAGTCATATTTTGACTGAAGCATGCAATGCTATATTGTCAAGTTCTTCTTCTAGTTTTCCTTTTGTTTTTTGTGCCCTCTTGTTTATAATATCCATTTGAATGGGAAGTTGTTTTTCCTAATAGTTTCCATCTCTATTTGGCAAATGCTAGCAGATGTTTTTTTAATCTCTCTCTGTCATGAAATGGAAACCAGTAAAATTTCCCTTTACTGACTTTGCTTTTGTTAAAATAATCATTGAAGATTCCAGCGTATTTTAGATAATAGAGCTGTTACTTCATCTGGGGTTCTCTCTACAGGCTGGCTGGCTTCCATGACATTGTCTGAATAGAAATGCCAAATAGAAAGAAGGCCATAAATTAGTGTGTAAGCAGATGGGATTTAGGGGTAAAATTCTGAGCAACTGTGGTGGGTTGACCCTGGCTGGATGCCAGGTACCCACCAAGCTGTTCTATCGCTCCCCACCTCAGCAGCAGGGGGTGGAGGTGGGGAGCAGAGCAGGGAGAAAATATAAAGGAAAAAACTCACAGGTCAAGATAAAGGGAGGTTAATAAAAGCAAAAGCCAATCGTGGAAGCAAAGGGAAACAAGGGGATTTATTCTCTACTTCCCAGCAGCAGGTGATGTCCAGCCATTTCCCAGCAAGTTGGGTTTCAATACGCATAGCGGTTGCTCCAGTAGACAAATGTCATAATAACAAATGCCTCACCTCCTCCTCCTTTCTCTTAGCTTTTATTGCTGAGCAGAAGTCATATGGTATGGAATAACCCTTGGGTCAGTTTGGGTCAGCTATCCTGACTATGTCCCCTCCCAAGATCTTGCCCACTCCCAGCCTACTGGTGAGAGGGCATGTTGGAGAGACAGCCCTGATGCTGTGCAAGCACTGCTCTGCAGTAGCCAAAACACTGGTGTGTTATCAACACCTGTCTAGCTACCAAGACATAGCATAGCACTATGAGGGCTACTATGGGGAAAATTAAATCCATCTCAGCCAGACACAATACAGCAACATCCTTCTTCATTTCTTAGCTGCCATTTGCCAACACAAAGATTTGTAACTTTTTTTTTTCCAAATTTAGCAGAGAAGTTACATCATCATGCTATTTACCTGCATGATTACATTTCCAATTATTTCATGAGCTAGAAAAACAGAGCCTTGAAATCTAGTTACCCTTTCAGATTGGTTAACAATAATCTGAACAGAAGCAGGAGGTTCAGTCCTGAACTCTTTGACAGTCACTCTTTGATCAGAGAGGTTTGATATGATTATCAAATTCCATGCATACTCCTGTCTGTGTTCTCCAGCTGAAGGTTAGAATATATTGACATAAAGAAAATGGGTTTATTTATTAAATATTTGTTAGGGCATTGCCAGTTTAAGCATTTGAAAAAAAAAGCTAACATTCCCAATAGCTTTAAAAAAAAAATCAATAATAACAGTTAGTAGTATATTTTACTTAATCACACTTTACAAGCAGTAGCTTTGTAGTACTCGTGACATTACCATCTTGTGCGGGAAGTGACCAAACCAGAGCAACTCAGGAAAAAAAGGATTTTTGCAGAGTTGTGATTTCAGAATCTTCTGGTTCTGTTTCCCTGTTCTGACCTCCCAAACGAGTCTGTCTTCTCTATCATCACACTTTTCAGCTGCTATCACATTATAGACTATGAATAAAACCATCACTAGTTCATAATCTGCCAGTTTTTCATCTGGACAACTGGCTTTTCTTTCAAAGGAATTCCTGCATGTCAGTTGCATTAATGTTTTGGAAACTGTAATGTGAATTATCCTTTGAGATTAATATAATTTTACATCAAGAATAATTTTTTTTGAAATTATGAAAGTTAGCTTAGAATCAGACATTATGTACGCATACTGATCAGGTGTCCAGGCTGTTAAGATGGTTTGGTCAGTTGTTTAAACACACTGTCACTGGTCATTAGTAGAAGAAATAGTACCCAATGGAGAATTTCAGCTCTGCAGTTTTTTAAATGTTCTTTTATTTGTAAAGCATTTAAATAAACTACAGCACTGTCTCTAAGAGTGACAATTAATTATCGCTTTGACATATCTCTTCTTTTTAGAGTGTCAAAATATTTTCAATTTCATCAGGACAAGAACATCTCATTCAAAATGCTCTTATGGTGAGATCTTGATTGTATGCGGTATCATGAGCAGAAACTCTTACTATGTGAAAAAATAGAATTGTCCGCCAAAATTTGTACAACTTGTTGCATCTTTAAGATGCTGTCACCTGAGGATCACCAGGACCCTTTGGTTACAGTTTCTTTTAGCTCCCCAGGCATTCACTTAATAGTCGCTACATATCATGTGGTTATAAACTTTTACTATTTTTCATAAATCCCTTTACTTGCACATGCAATAAAAATCTAGCTCATGATATTTATTTTAGCTAAGTCAGGGAACACCTTGATACTTTGCTTGTAAAATGTGCCAATGCAATCTGTGGCTCCCAGATACAACACGTGGGTGTCATAGCACATGTGTGGCCATGGTGAAGGAGTTAAAGGCTTTTGAGCACTATGAAGTAAAACAGATTAAAACTTAATCATCCGTGAAGAGATGTTAGGCAAACACTTGCTTTTCTTCACAGTGAGGATGAGTCTGGAAGTGAGCACAAAGCTGCTGCTTGCAGACCCCGGTGTTGATGGTGTGCCCATATCTACTTTGCACACAAAATGCTGCATAATGCTTTCCAGTAAGATGGCCCAAGCAGCTAAGGTTTGCATGGTGCAATGTTACCCAAAGGTCTGTAAAACAAAGACAGCTTTCTTGTAGCAGGCCTGTTTGGTGCAGTTAGGTTAAGTGGGTGTTGACCCTGCACACAGCTCAGGACTTGATGGTGTGCTGTGATAAGCAGGAGTCGCTCAGTCCTTTGGGGACCCACGAGCATGGAGCTCAGTGAACCAAGGCTGAAGATGGGAAATGTAAAGATACCCAAGCCAAGGAGAAGATTCAGGTGAGGTGCAAATGCTGACATCTGTTAGAATCCTTTACAAGGGTTGAGAGACACATTTTGATGCATGTAATTTGCTAAGTCCATGCAGGGTTATATGGAGGATGGAAGCCTGCTAGAAAGATGGGTCTGCAGGTGTCACGGGGTGGTATTTAAAATTCACAGTTCCTTAAGAGGTGTGGATTATATTAGATTTCATGTTGGGGCATAACCAAACCTCAGGGAAGGATCTGGACTCTTGTATGTTGTCCAGATGAAAAGTAGGTTCTCATTGCTCATGATGTAGTACTATCACTTTTATTACAGTATAACTGCATATTTGCCTTGAAATCTATAGCAGGAATAAAACAAAAGAGTAGAGAGAGGCTTTCACTAAAAATAGCTAAGATTTTTTTTCCCCACAAAGGAATAGATAATTTTCTTCTGAGTCTATTACATTGTAAAGCTTGATTCTCCATTTCATTATATTGTTTTTATGCCCGTGTAACTCTGTTTAAGCATCCAGTGGAGTTACATCAGCGTAAAACTGCTATAATGGAGTGGAGAATCTGGCCCATAGTGTAACATAGCATTGCGGTATGAGTTACTGAAGATGTGGTAACCACACACTTCAGTAGATAGATAAGCTCTTTTCCCCTGCCAATCTCTCTTTGCCTTTTTGTTTTATATTCAGACTTTTCTGAATTTCATTTACAAAGGTACTCAGGTTTTATTTTGGGGAGTAGTGTGTCTGTTGTAATATGCTATTGATTTTTCAATTTGCGGTATTAATATTGTTTTAGTAGTTTAATGCACTCATACAAGGAACAAAATAGAGCTCTTGTACTTGCACTGTAAGGATGCTCATTTAAAATGTTCCTGAGGCTCAAGTCCTCCTGGCCATTTGACTAAGATTGTGATGTACTGTATCAGTTTAATATCTGATATCTGGGGGACTATACTGTGCATTTGCTGGCCAATGGGCTCAATATTCAGATAGGTCTTTTTCATCTCAAACATCTGACTCTGTGGCTTATTGCAACAGAAAATTGCTGCCTTGATAACGCTTGGTAATACTCTTACATTATGTGAGCCCCAGGATACTATTTATGAATCTAACTTTTTCAGTACTGCCTGCAGGCATGAGGCATGAGCAAATGGTGTTTATTACAGTGCAAATAGGGTCTCGCTCTTGTGCAGATTCTGTGTGGAAGCTTGCACATTCCCCCATAGGATGGAAACCATATGGATTTTTTTTTCCTTTTTTTTTTTTGGCAGGGAAATAGCGACCAGACGCCACAGATAATGCAGTCCCCAAATGCGGGGGGAGAGTTTATGTGGGAGGGGAATATGTGCTTTGTCTGTTAAGCAACAGAAACTGTTCTTACAGCATTGCCTGTGTGTGTCTGATGATGTATTTGGAACATGGTTCTTTTTAGCATCTCTTGAAAACATTTTCTTTTGAGCCCTTTATAAACCCCTCTTCATGAACATCCATGAACATTTTTGCTTCCTAGTGATGAGTTTTCCCTGTGCTTATGGAATGTGGGCAAGCTGAAAAGGTCTATTTTTAATGCAAGGACAATGTCCATTTTGCCTCATCCCTTCCACCTGCCTTCCTATGCTTTTGCTTCTAGCATTCCAAATGCAGCTGAGGAGCGGGGACACTGACTCGCGCCTGCTAAAAACTAGGATGTAAACTGCATTTGCGGAAAATGCAGCTGAGCCTTTTGGAGTGCCCTGCTTAGAGCCCACAGTTCAGCTACCACGAAGCCTACAGCTCTCAAAGTACCACACCAGATACTGTACATTTTAATGCCCGGAAACTTGGAGGCATAATTGAACAACATATCTAAAATGAGTCAAAGACAGTATATTTCATGTCTCTTTCCAATCTTCTTTCCAAAGTACATGTTCTGATGACTGAGAATCCTGTATTCCCTTGGACTTACTTGCAACATGCATCTTCCACCTCATTTCACCTCTCTCTAAGCCTTAAAAAAAAAAGGAGAAGGGGAATGCATAAGATGGAATATGGCAAGGTCAGCAGCTGCAGTTCTGTAGGGTTTACACCAGAGCAGGCCACTCTTGTATTTTTGCTCCTCCTGTCCTTTTTTAGGTCACCAGCATGTCACTTATGCCAGTTACGTATTAGAACATTAGCCCATTTGTCTGTAAAGGGAATTCGAGGAGATACCTCCACGTCCCATGCATGAAAGCACATTGAGCCCTCCTTGTGAGCAGGCCCTGCCAGGATGCTACATGGCTGCAGCGCTATGGCAGGTTGAGCATCCCATGCCTTAGGGAGGTTCTACTGGAGCCTGTCTCCAGCAGGGACACCCCTGTCCTCACCATACCACTGTACTTAACGCATGGCAGAGAGGCCTTCAAAATATACTTGTTCAGGTCTTCGTCTGTTGAATTCCCTCAGACAATATCCACATCCTTTTTTCAGATCCTTTTGATCACAAGGGACACCGTGGCAGGAAGACAAACCTTTGTCTCCGGATACAGGGGATTCCTGATTGCAAAATGATTGACCTACACTCTGTCACAGTGACTCAGATTGTTAAACTTGATTTATTATTATTAAAAATTGAAATATATGAACTAGATTTTCTCACATTGTCATTTGCTGAGTCAGATTTCTTTCATTTCTCTTCTTTGATGCTCTGGTGCATGCATTTTCACAATATAGCTGAGTGTCCTGATAGTGTGTTTTATTTGATGCTTATTTGAAATCATTCCAAACTGTGACAGATAAACGGTATTGGCAGGGGTGTTGGAAGGGTTGTATTTTTCACATTACCAAAGTGTATATTCTACAAGCTTATGTACTATTCAGATAACTGCATCTCTAAGCTGAAACTGAAATGGGTAGCTGTCTGTCAAGTTCTTGGCTTAGCACACGTTTTCTGTAAATTTGGTAGCATTTGCTGGGATTTATTGGAGAGTTTATTTCAAAGAGTCAGCACTACTTCCAAATGGAAAGTTGTTTCTCCCCTGCAGTCGTCTTTGTCTGAGCAGTTTATACATGGTATGAGTGCAGCATCAGTGCCAGGCTGATGGACAGAATGAGAACAGAATGAACAAAAATATGTGGTTTTGTCAAAAGACTGCTGTTTTTACAACTGTCCTTTGGTTTAAGAGGTTTATGTGTATTTCTGTTATGCCTTTTACCTACAGAGTGAATTCTGTCAGTCTGCAATTGGCTTTTCATTTGCCACACGGAGCATTTCTTCGTTCATCCACTTAGCAGTAGCATAGCCAAAGTGATTTCTGGTTAACCTTGAACTGGGAGAAGACCCCTGTAGTGGGACTTTGGTAACATATGCATCATGCTAATGCTATAGATGGACCCAGCTAGTGCTGTAAAAATCCTTTCCCCCCTCAACGTTGCATGGACTTTATGTTTGATGCAAGCAGTAAGATACAAATGCCTCTAAGTTCTCATAATAGGATATATATATAAAATTGGGCAAAGGCACAGTTTTAAAATAGTCTCTGTGCGAGCATTGTAAGGGCAGATAAATGTTCCTAAAATAGCAATATATTTCTATTAAACAAAAAAATCACTCAGACGCCACCTGCTGCTTTTGGCATTTTAAAATCTTATTTCGAATAGAGAGAACAAATGGTTGCTTCTCCGTCTCCCTCTCCTCTCCTAACTTCAAATGTTTCTGCCCAACCTTCAGAGACGACAGCCTGTTTTTCTGAGGCTATTGCTTGGGTAAAGTCGGTGGTTATTTGAGCCTACATCCAGAATGAATGCATCCAGTCTGAACTAGACTGATTAGTACTAAATCCAGGATGCCAGGGCGATTGGGAAATAGAGCACTTGCTTAAACACAAGTAATGATTTTTGTTTGTTGCATGGCTTTCATGGAGAGCTACTGTTGATTGCCTCAGCGTGGGGAGAAAAAAAACATAAAAAGGCAGAGAATGTAATCCACTTCACCATTACAGAAAGAGCATATGTGCAAAATTTTCTGTTACTTGTCAGATTGGTGCACACTGTATGAGAAGGGTCTGTATGGGGTTTAAATCGGACAAGAGAACACTGCACAGGAGTGTTTCTCTCTCCCAGAGTCCAGATTATCAGCATTTTGACAGCCATAAGACCACAAACATTCTTTTTTTAAGCAATTTTCTTTTTCTGGCTTACAGTTAAAACAGAAAAAAGGGCAAATACAGATATCTTTATGAATACACACATATTAAATACTTACACAATTTACCAGCAGCGATATTTTCCAAGTGATAATTTTTTCCATAATCATTAACCCATAGGGAAGGAGAAGGAATATAACATTTATTACCATCAAGCGAGAGATAGTACAACTTTTCTTCATAGCATGCAACAGTGGAAATAAAAACAACTAGATCTGAGATTTTCAGTGCTGCCTGGGGCATTTAGGCTCATAATTCCTGATACAATTCACCAGAAGGTGAGTTTTTTGCTCTCTGCCTTGATGAATATGAAAATTTCAGCCAGAGTTTTTGTAGCCATTCTTTAATAAAATAATTCAAGCATGTATATGGAATGTGTTATTCTCAGCACTGAAGCATTAAGAACTGAAAAGGGAACAGTACCGCATGTAGGAAATCAGTAATATTGTCTTCAATATCGCATAAGAAATTTCCTTTCACTAGCTAGCACTCTGGAAAATCAGCTGTCTTTGCATTTCAGATAATTACTTCTTGTATCGTGAAGTTCTATATTTGTGGTAGTTGAAGTGAAAAAAATATGCTTTGTGTAAATATTCCTCCTCCTTTCCATTTTCAAGAGCTGTTCAGTGGAGCCATCACATCTTCCTTATTGTGCTTTTGGAAATAGATGGACATAATTACCTGTGTAGACTCTTTTTGTCTTTGCCCAGAAGGCAGTGAATTAGTTAGTCAGAGCCTAGCAGTCAAAAGGTTCAAAAAATCTTGCTTTTGTTCTTTGTTTGCAGATTTTATTCCTCACCGTACAGTATTCCAACAAACCGCATGATTCCACAGACATCAATCACGCCATTCATTGCTGCTTCCCCTGTCTCTACATATCAGGTACGTCAGATTTGCACTTGTCTACTATGTTTCCCAGTTAATTATGTTTTGGATGTGGATGAAGGCAGAGTGTATACCACAGAAAATTGCGTGAGTGCTTGAGCTCTTGAGTCACACTTGAAACAAAATGCATTCTAGTAGTATTCAGGTATCATTTCGTGTACGGTTTTAAGTGTTTCCTGCATTCTTTACACTAGCAATGAAAGCCACCGTAGGTTTTAATTTCAATCAGCTTCTTTAATAAACAGCATTTTGCTTCATTTTCAGTTGACAACAGGAGGAGCTTATAATTCTTATTTTAATGATTTTTCCTTTTGGCTCCTTTTCATTAGCTGGAAGTTTTTTTAAGTGTGGGGGATTTTTATAATTTAGGTTGACTACGTCATATTTTGACCTTTTGACCTCAGCTGTATTTGCTCCAGTAACAGCATCCTTTAAAAGGGCTCATTTTTGTCCAGTAATCCCTGACAAAGCAAGTTACTTGAAGATAACTGTCCTCATATCCTTCTTTAGTCTCCCACACATTTTGTCGTTCAGATTTTCTCTTTTCGGCATATCACAGATCTCCACTGGGAAATTATTGCCATGCTCTGGCTTTCTAAGATGGAAGTCAAAACCAGGTTGTATAGTTTTATCGTTAGCCATTCTCTGGGAACATATCACTTCACTCTGAAGCTGGTCATTGGCTGTACATTGTCCTATTGCAGTTATTTCTGACCTATAGCACTAGTGCTCTTTCAGTCCTGAGTCCTACCTGGGATAAGCTACTCAAATGTCAAAGCTGCATGGTGGGTTGTTCTTAACATTAGGGTTGGTTTGTTGGGAGTGTGGATTTTGAGATGGTATGCTACTGCTTACAGGTAGTTCTGGGAGATTGTGCTTACGCTTACTGTGTTTTAAACTTGGTCTTCAAAGATAAACGATCCCTGTAATTTTCTTTGTCTTTTGTGTTTTTTAATTTTAGATGACTATGTAACACTTGACAAACAGAAGTTGTTTTGGAGAGATAAATTCAGTAAATTTCAGTAAATGGCAACACTAAAGAAATGTCATTGCCAGAGACATACGAGTGCAGCTCACATGCACTTTTCTCAGTAGCAAAGCTGGCTTAAGAGTCATACCTCCTCCCTCTTATTCAGGCCACTGAATTCAGACCACCCAGCCACTTATTCCCATCATGGCTCCACAGTTACTCCCTTCTCCCATCCTGACTTGACCCACTGCATCTGTTCATGGTTTGATGCATTTGCACCAAAACCACTGATTTTTTTCTTAATTTTTGTTTTTTTGACCTGCATCATTCTCCATAGATAGTTTGCAGTTTAAGTCCAAAGGCATTTACACTGGCACAGAGGAGGAACTGCAAGGGTGCAAGAGTGGGAGCAATGAACAACAGCAAGCGGTGAAAGCTCTAACATATTTTAACTAGCGAGGGATTCACAACATAAAATTTTGTAGTAGGGGTATGTTTGCATGTGTGAGCGCTGGTTTTAGTTCTAAAGATGTTTCACTGAACCTGCTTTTCAACAAAAAATCTACTTTGATAAACTTCAACAAGTGTTGAAGCACAGAATAATACATTTCATTCTCCCCACTTGCTTCATGAACAAAATCACTGGGCATCTGGAGAACTGGGACCCTGCAGCTTTCTTGTGGTCATGCCTGCTCATGCTCAATCTGAGATGCCACAGGCCCATCTCTGTGAGCTTGAGGATAACTGATGAGTGTGTTGTAGCACACTATGTTTTTTGTGTACTTTCTGTGTGTTGTGGCACCCAGATTGATGCAAGAGGAAACTAGGATACACAATTCTTGGGGTTGAGTCTAAGTTACGATATCATGTGGTCCAATCATGCCTAACACAGTGGGGAGTAATGGCTCAGAGATGCCACCACAAATGCACAAGCACTCTGTAATCCATTTAATTGTTAGTAAAATTGGTATTTCCATGGAATCTGTTACTTGTCAGACATAAGGCAGAACAACAAAGACAGACTTTGGTGAGGCATAGAGAGCTCTGTTGGCAGTGGGCCCCACAATGCCCAAGGTAGAAGGTGATCCTAGGGGCAGGAACATCGTAAGCCAGCTTTGCCATGGAAGCTTTCAATTAGAATAAGCTTCAAAAACTCTGAATTAGATCTGCAGTTCTTACTGAAAATGTAATAAATCATTCTGGGATCTCTTAAAGTGTTATACCTTTGAAAGTTCATACAGGTACTTTTGAAAATAAACTTGGAACATTTCATGTCTCCTGCACTGTCGGTTGGATGACATGTTCATGATTATATTGATGGATGAAAGCAAACAATACAAATGAAAAAATAGGACCACATGGAATATTGAAGACTGCTTTATGAGATAAAACAGTATGGATCATAGAAGTGGTGCAATCACTTAGTCTTCTGACTTTGGTAGAAAACATTATCAAATTAAATTTGAAAGCTTTTTCCTTTGTCAGTAACTTTATGAAGCATAAATTAATTTTGTGTTGAGTTACATGACTTAAGTCCTTTGCCAAAATTAGCTCTGTAGTGGTAATAGAAAGAGTATTTTCAAGTAAATCTTTGAGTTCTGTTTTAAACTTTTCTGTGCTAATTAAAAGTATTTGATATGCAGGTCCAGAGTACTTCATGGATGCCTCATCCGCCATATGTTATGCAACCAACAGTAAGTGGATACTTGCTTATATCCAACTAAAAGTGCTTACACTGTAGCCTCGCTCTGCTTGTTAGCCACATTAAAGTCCTAGGTCATGGAAGAGCAGCCAGCTATTCCCTTTAAGGAGAACCATCCACTGTAAAGATTCTTCGTCTCTGAGGAACACCGTTTGATTTAGTGAAAAGGGAAGGATGGGTGATAAGTTATCTAATTGCATTGGTTATAAGAGAATAACAAGCTCTAAAGTGTTGCTTCTGAAGCTTTGCTTCAGGGACTGCAAGATAACTGCACTCCTGCATACTTTGAATTGCCAGGATCAACACATTACTCCTCCCTTATATGCTTATCCATCAAAAAAGTCCTTTGTAGTTGTATATACTTTAAAGGATCCTCAGTGCCTCAGTAATGTATTTCAAGTACTGGAGAAGGGTAAAGCACAGCTGTCTTAGAGAGTCTCTGCCAAATCTGAATCTGCTTTTTTATTTTACCAGTCAACTTTTTTTTTTCCCTGAGTAAATTGTCATCTTTCATCAATTTATAACTACTACTTAGAGCTGCATTACACTTCTACCAACACTCGTTAGAAGCAGAACAGGTGATTTTTTTGTTTACCTCACAGAAGAGTTTTGATGCACTTTCCCTAAATATTAGCAATATACCAGAAGGAAACAACATACTGAATCCCACTATATACAGATTGCTTCAGTTTTGTTTCTTACCTTTGATTGATTTCTCAGGTATGGATCCACTTAACAGTGTCAAAATTCAAATGTGTACTACACATACACATCAATACATTGATTTAAGTGAGGAGGGTAAAATTAGAATGAAGGTGTATAGTTTAGGATTTTTTGTTATTCACATTTGTGTTCAAATATTTTGACTCCAGAATAGAGTAACCTTTGGTGGGAGGTAGCTGTACAGCAGCTAACAGTGGATGTAATTACACTACATACCCATTTAATAGCATAGGACTTCCATCCCAATTTGAAGCCCCCTTCCACATCCCTCAACTCTTTGGAGACAAGTTCTTCACTTTTCTTTCACCAAGCAATGACCATAGTGTGGAACTGACTGTATCCTGGGAGCCCGATTCCTACCGTGGCAGTGCTACACCTCTCTCCAGACCCTGGTGGAAGTTTCCATCTCAGTGGAGTAAAGCTTGTAGGGAGATGAGCTGTACTGAACAAACTCACAGCTAAAATCAGTCCTGCACTTGGACTTAATTGCAAGCCACGAGAAATCTTAGAAGTGTGTATATGATGAGTTGTCAGACTTGTGGAAGCCAAAGTACCACTGATTCTTGCCAAAATACTCCCTTTTTAAAAGGAAAACCTAAGCACTTTACCAATCTCGCTTTTTGTGTATATGTGTGTTTGAGCTTTATTTGACAATGTTCAGCAAAGCATTTTCCTGCAGTACTAGAAGAGCTATTTTGGTGTGGTAATTGGATGTATTTACTTCTTGGTAAAGGGCTATAAAGAGAAAAATAACTTTTATAGTGAGTAGCACGAGTTAAATTTGTGTTCGTTGCTAGCCAGAGAGTTGTGTCAATGAAAGGATATGTGCTTGTGGGTGGAAAAGCACAGGGACTGTGGATAAGTGGTGTAACGTTTCAGTTCCAGCATCATTGTCATTGTGGGTTACCTCCATGTGTTGTCTGTAGCAATCCCAGTCTCTTCACTGAAGGATTTTTCCCATGTGTTTCCCAAGATTATGCTCTTAAATAAATGGACATAAGGCATTTAGTATTGAAGAAGAATAAAAGCAAAAAGGCAGAACTACCATTCCCTGGGTCTCATTCAGAGATGAATTCTTTATTAGAAATGTCGGAAAAGTTGTCAGAGAATTACTACACAGAGACTCAAGAGACATCAGAATTAATGGCCTGTTTTGAAAGAAAATACAAAATTCGTGTCCATTGTAAGCTTGCTGTAGTTTCATGCCTAACTATAGACTCTATTCTAGGCACCTCCATAGCTTAAAAAAAAATGAAGAAAAGATTACAGTCAAGTTGGCAGAATTTACAACATGAATTTTGGTAACCCTGTGAGCTGATGAAACTGGGAACTTTCTAATTTATTTAGCTTTTTGTTTCTTCTTGTAACTTAGTTTACCATATTATTATCTAAATTGCCACTACTTTCCTTCATAATATTTTATGAGATGATTGATTGTGGCACGTGACATCCCACTGGAAACCAGTGCAGATAAATATTACAATCCCCTTGCCCCAGGATGGAGAACATTTTGTTAAGCCTCTGTTATTCTTTGTGAGTAGAGATGAACTCATACAGAAAGCCCAGTTTGAATTGCTCGAATGCTGGTGGTTAATTCTTTGTTTTGATTATAGTTATCCACTAAATCATGTTACTGGATTAACTTTTCATTTCCCACAGAAAGTCCTACTAGATATTTATGTATAATTTATCACTGCGTAGTGTCCCTCGTGACAGAAAATTAGGCGGGCCCATGCTGGAGAGGAGACAAAGGAGGTTTTTTTTCATTCAGAGTGCTACACACATCCAGGACAGCTTTCTCCCAGGCTGGCAAGCTTGCTGTCAGGAGGGAAGAGCTATGCTGCACAGTGCTACCACCCTGTGTTTGCCTGCCTCTGCTCTTCTTGCCTGGCATCTCCTTTGCCACCTACCTACCCACTCATTTAAATACCGTGTTCTTTCTTCAGTCATCTTCCCTGCAGTAGGTTGGCCTGCTAGACATGTTGCTCATTTTATTTCCCTTTATATATCAATTTCAGCCACATTTTCCTGATGGGTGCGTGGGTGCATTTTGTATCTGTTTACTTGGTGGATTGAAAAAAAATCCACTATAGTAAAAGATTGCATCTCCAATTACTTCAGTTGCTTTTTAACTACAACCAGATAAACCTCTAACCCTACCAGAGAGCAATAGCATATACATTAACTGAAAAATATTTGTGTGTATTGCTTTCTATTCCCCACCCTTGTTTGTCGTCTTACTTTTGTAGTCTACTTACACGCAGATAATTACGAATTACCAAAATTACATTCTGTAAGAAAAAAAACAGATTTATTTTTTTTCCTGATAGAGAAAAGTCAGATGGGCAGTCAAGGGCTCTGCAGGTATATCATAATTTACTCATTATTTTCCTTGTAACTTTTAACCTTGTAATCGTAGGTTCATGCCAACAAGCAACGGCAAATACACTTTTAAAGGAGTTGGGGTTTTTTCTTTGTTATCAGTGATTTTTTCTAGCCTTATACTAATAGTCATGAAAAATTAATATCAAATAGGTTGAGGTAGCACTGCTATTTCAGAATAAATTGTAATAAAATATTCTTCTGCTGGCATAATAGGGTCACATGTGAAAACCTCCCACATCTTTGTGCTTGCACAACCTTCAGGGTTTTGGAAAACAGGATTCTTGAGTCATGTGAGCATGATGAAAAATTTACCTTGAGGCTCATGTGTGACTCAGACACTTTTGAAAAATGTAGCCTTTGTAAGTGGAGCCACTTTTTGACCATATTGACTGCACTGTGTCTGAGTAAGAATGTCTCAAATTTGCTAGTTTTGCTGCTTTGCCACATGCCCTGGTCCCTCTCACGAGCTGTAATTGGAGACAAGCTCCAGAAGAGTTATGGCAGTGGGGGTTTGGACTTATACTGGCACAACATTTACTGCACTGATAGCAGTCTGGGCTCTGTTTAGTTAACTCTAGCTTTCCAAGTACAGTGCTCACTCATCCCTACTTGAAACAAGCCTTGTATTTCATTACTGCCTCAGGATAAGGGTAGATGGATAGCAATGACAGAATCAAAACATAAATGGGATAAGAGTTATTCTGGGGATTTATAACATTTGCCATATTAGTGTGTTTTTTCTGTAGTCCCTGAAGGCTGTCTGAGGGTTCAGGGAAAACTTTGAAAAACATGTTGTTTAAAGTCAGTTCATATATAGATAATATTCATTTTTAATAACAGTGACATTTGTGTAAAACTTTTTGGATTCAAATCTCTATTACAAATAATACACCTACTCTTCCTCTTTGAAGGCAAAGTGTTTTAGTGAACCAACAGAAATGCTCTACCCTAATACTGTATGTGCACACTGGTTTTACACTTACCCTCAGTTATTTGCAAGTAAAACTGTGTGACCATAAGTCATTGCTGTGTATGCACAGATAGATATTCTTGTCAGTCTGGAATAGTTTCTGCATAATAGCTCCAGAAGGAATATGCCAGTGGGAGCATGAAGGGTGCAAGCAGAGAAGCATATGGAAAAACCTACTATTGATAATGATAAAGTGCATTTAGGAGAACTTCACTACTGGACATTTCTCAAGCCCTTACAGCCCTTTTAGAAAGGTCAATGTCTTAACAAATGCCCTTATTATTTTTTTCTTCTTCATTCCTCTGACCCGTGGCTGTATGTAATCTGTCTGTCTTTAAAAGCAACAATAAAAACATTCTATATTTCATAAGCAGTGTAAAACCCCTACTTTGGTGAGAAGCAAGGCTGAGTAAGGACTCCAGATTCTTGCCTTTTGATTGTCGTGCATGAATGTAGCATAAAAAGTACAAACTGTCCAACTGAAATATATCAGTTTTCATTTTCTCACTAGCGACTCTGTTGTTTTGGATAATACCCAAAATACCACAGCAGTTTCAGTGTTTTGATTCCTGTGCTCTCAAACAAAGAAGTTCCTTGTGCTCAGTTCAGTGTCCCTCTCCCAAGACAGCTTTCTCTACCTCCCAGTTGTTGCTCCATCTTTTTAGGACATAGAGCTGGAAGTCCATCTTGCATTTGCCTGTTTGAGTGCAAGGGAACAAAGTATGTCCCTGCAGACAGTTGAGTCCTGCCTCCAAGATGAAATGTGAGAGTTCGGCTAGCTGGTATGAAAAGTAAACAGGAAATAATCCTTAGAAATTGGAATCTCCAGCTAGCCTTTTAACTTTTAGCTGTGTATTTTTAAGACATCCTTTGAACATGAACTTACTTGAACTTCTAAGGCTAAAGAGTTTAGA